ACTTTAGGGATGAAGCGCGGGAAGATGTATCGACGTCGAATCTTCGGGATTCGAGATTAATATTATTTTCATTCGTTATTCCGATTGGAAATTGAATCGCGATTCCTGCAGCTGAACATTCGATTCGAAGTTTCGTTCACCGCGGCATCAAACTTTCACGTTCGGAACACCAAGGTGTTCGCGAGCGATTTAATTCTTCGAATAACCGGAGGTCGATATATAATTCTCTCGTTTTTCTAGTATTTACGAACTCGATGTATACATAATTTAACTTCCTCTGTTGAAGGTCTCGAATACTTGGAAAAGTCCGCAGAGGGTTGCCACATAAAATATCGAAATAAAATTCCTGTTCCTCGATGTATTCCTTCGTACGAATCGCTCAGAGTACAAAGTTTCCTTGTCTGATCTGGAAAAGAAAAATTGAGAAAATCGATGTTTCCTAATAGAAATTTGCGCGTTAATCACGAAAAACTCTCGTCGATGTTTCATTAGGAGGAAAGAAACGGGGAAACTTACGAACAGAGAGAAAGAGTTTCGAACGCGAAGGGTCAAATGTATAGTTCTGAACTGCAGGGGGTTGTTACAAAATGTTGATCGTTTGAAACAGAGGGTTTCGAAGCGGCGAGAGCGTGTTCTGGCCGGCTTCGTTTCAGCCAGGAAACAAGGGGCCGGAAGTCGAGGGGGTGTTTTCTAAATATTTCGCCATAGTTTTCGGTGGCCGAGGGGCCGGAGGGGTAGACGTTATCGGCCCCCGTGTATTTTCCGCAGTTGGAAAAGCGGCGCGATATTGCGGACCCGTTCTCCCGGCAGCCTCGAGTTTTCACAGTTCCCTGAATGCGGGATGAATATCGGCCCGCTTCGCAACAAGTCGAGCATTATATCGCTTTTACATTTATAAAGCTGTCACTGTCAGCTCGCGCGTCATTGTGAAAGGGGTATTATGCTTTAATAATGGGCGGCATCGCGCGTCAGACTCATCCGGCGAATATGGAAGCGTACCAAGTTTATTTTGTTCCTCGGGCCGCTCGGAACCGTTTCAGCACGTGGAACGACGTCGCGATTAAAAATCAGAATTTTATTATAAATCCGGACAACCGGCGAGACTGGAATAGAAATTGCTAACTGGATTACGCGTGTTTAGAACACTCCTTTCTTTTGTTCCTCTGGGACGTGGATCGATATCGAGACCAGAGGAATTTGTATTTTTTAAGGAACGACACATTAATGTTTATAAAAGCTTTCGTGAGTTGACGAGGGAACGATTCGATGGACGGTTGAAAATGAAAAGCTTTCTTGTTATTTGATTTTATACTTGCGTCGCTGAATGATGAAACAGACATTGAACGTTGCAATAGGAATTTATTATTAATCGTACCAATACAGTAGTGATCGTTACAAATGTTTTAAGTACAGTACCTTAGTGTGTTAGTCATACGTTTTGATTAAAGTATAAAATCGTAGCAGCGAATATTGAACCGTTTTATTAAGTACCGTACAAATAGAAGCATAAATACACCACGAGCGTCGTTGCGTTCATGAACTGTAATAAATTACGTAGATGATACAATCATGCGAAAGCTTAGTGAAAAATAAATATTTACTGTACGTATGAGAACGTTTGTCGCGAAATTAATACTTTCCAAGAAAATATGTTATACGCCGTTTTGAATGGAAGATAGGTATTCGGTGTATCGTTTCTCTTGTGCTTGTTGCAGCTTCTGCAGCTTCTTCAGTTGACCTTTGCTGATTTCTTTACCGTCAGCGTCGTGCGTAGGTAAACCCTGAGTAAAATGGTAACGAACGTCGCGTTAGTAATGTTTCACTGTTGCTCATACTAAAATTCTTTCGCGCTAAATTAATAGGATAACAGAGAAATAAAAAGTGTAATTTACAGTTTCCTGTAAGTTCACTTACGTTGCTATCGAATTGGGAATATTTATCTTTCTCGAGTTTGAACATGTCCGAAGGAAGAATTTTCCTTTGAGCCTCCTTCGCCGCTACCGCCGCGGCTGCTTCCGCCTTGCGTTTCTCTTTCTCTTGCGCTTTCTCGAGTTCCAGCTTCTTCTTAGACTCCATCTCTTTCAAAAGTTCCTCCCTATTTACAAGTTTGACGCGGCAGGACTCGTCGTTGCTATCTTCTAAACGCACCCCGATGTTCGGTAAAACGTCGTCGCGCAATTTATCACACTCTTCAAGAATACTATTGGCTCGAAGCGTTTTAGCTTCGTTTCGTACTTGCTCCCGGAAGTTCGCCAAAACCTCGAGATACGGCATCACAACCTCTTCGACCTGGGATCAATAAAGTCAATAAATACGATATACAGATTACAGATAGAGAACAGGAGATACGGAACGTACATTCAAATTTGCATTTTTATCATCCACCGGGAAACCAATACTGTCGTGCGCCGTCGATATCACACCAAACACAGTGAAAATTTTGGTAACATAAACTGCAACGTCCCTGAGCAATAGTGTATTCGGTTGCTTAATCTGCTTCATGTAAATGTTGCAATGCGTCACGATATCTCTAATCGCGTCGAGCGCACTTCTTGTGTCAATGTTATCTGTTAAAGATTACTCTTAACATTTTAGATATGAGTGACATACAAATTCCTCTAAGTACACAATGTATAAGTTATTGCGAACCTACCACATAGCGCGTTGTGTACAGAATCTTTAGCGTCACAGAACTTTTTGTTCAATTCCATTTCAGAATTTGTCCATTTACTGAATGTATTGATGTTCGTTCCCATACCCATAGATCTGATCTTGCATTTCACGTTTAAGAAGAATTCCTGTAATTGCAATGAAAAGTGTTAGATTTATCGTGCGTTATTTAATAGATTGAAATTGATTTGTCGATACTTGGACCTACATTTAAAAACTTCTCGTACTGAAGTGCCATGTTCATTGTATTATCGCTATAGTCTAACGTGTCTTTCCACGAATGCAAGAGAAATGCGAATCTCAACTGCCTTGCCGAATGCTTTTTCAATGCATCTTGTATAGTAATGAAGTTCTTCAACGACTTTGACATTTTGCAGCCAGCTATGGTCAAGTGACCGGAATGAAGAAAATATCCGACCCAATTGGAATTATTGAAATACGCTTCTGCTTGCGCTATTTCATTGTCATGATGTGGGAATTTTAAATCTATTCCTCCAGTATGAATATCTAAATGTTCTCCGCAAATTATAGACGCCATCACCGAACATTCTATGTGCCAGCCCGGTCGTCCTTTACCCCAAGGACTCTCCCACCATGGTTCTCCTTCTTTTGAATGTTTCCAAAGTGCGAAATCTATCGGAGACCGCTTTTCAGACGGTCCTGAGGTAGTTAGATCTCCTGGACACAATAATTTTTCATTGAAATCAATTCTTTTTAATTAGTAATTTCTACCAAGCGTTTTAAAGATGACATTACCTTCTCCTTCTTGCAAACTTGAAGTATCACCATAAGCTTCTGGAACAAGTTTGGCATAATAATGTTTTTCTTGCTTGTCAAATGTGGCAACATCAAAGTATACTGAGCCGTGGCTCTCGTACGCGTGTCCGTTCTGTATGATCTTCTCAATAAATGCTATGATCTCAGGAACATATTCGCTAACCCTCGTTAAAACATTTGGCCTTAATACCTAAAGACAGTTCGTATGAATCCCCAATTGAATTCACAATTATAGTCTATCTTACATTTAAGGCATCCATGTCTTTATGAAATTCGGACTCCCAGTATTGCGATAGTTTCATGAATATCGAGTGTTCTGTAACTGTAGCTCCTTTCTTCTTATCCAACCAATCTGACAATGGGTCACGTGCTTCTTTTAAGAGTAACTACATTTAGAAAAAATACAAGTACCATCTCTAAATAATATTATTAAATGAAAAACTGATAAATTAATATGAAAAAATAGTCTAACTAAGTTAAATGTGTCTGGTTTTCCTTTCCAGTATCAAAAACAAATTAAAAAGAAATTTAACAATACAGTCAAAAACCAATTACTTCTTGAAATTCTTTAATCTTATTTTCATCCTTAAGTTTCACTGCATTTTCGAGATTCTCAATAGCTTGTACTACATTGCACAACATTTTCTGCAGCATACTCTTCTTATCTGGATCGTTAGTGGTCTTCACTGTATCTTCAAACATATTCATTACACTTTTGGCATTGTGTAAATTTTCATCAAGGGTTCTAGATTCTTTCATATATTGCTCGTACAAATAATTTTGTCTTGCCCTCTTTATAATTTTGTCATCTATATCCGTAATATTCATTACATATAAAACATTATATCCAAAATAATCGGATAGAATACGTCTTAATATATCAAAAGAAATATAAGACCTATAAGAAAAACAATTATATTAATCAAGTAATATAAAATAAATTATTATTCTCAACATATAAAAAAATACAACATATTTAATGATTTTGTAAGTATGATTATGGTTACCTAGCATGTCCCATATGTGAAGCATCGTATACGGTTGGTCCACAACTATACCATAGCACACTATTTCCAAATTGAGGAACAAATATTTCTTTCTCCCTAGTGAAACTGTTGTATAATTTGAGAACTGATGAATTCTTTTTTTGTGGCGGTATCCACGGTGGTTGCACTCTCTTTGCCATTTTTCTATTTTAAAATCTGAAAGTATCCAGAATGAATCACAGATAAGCATTTTATTGCATGTGTCATCTCTGAAATAAAGAATTATGGAATGAAATTTGCAATCTTTAGACAGTTAAATTAATACTGTATTTGTCGAAAAGATCTTTAAAGAAAATTATAGTTTAAAACACAAAATTTCAAAACGAATACGTAAAATAAACGAAACAGACTGTCAGTGATAGGTTACGTGGCTGAAATAATATCAAATATTTTTGGCACATGCTTCCGCGTGTATACAAATTTAAGGTCAATGAAACATTGAACACTTAAAACTAACCTTAATATAATTTTATCATTAGACTTCTGCAAAATTATTATATCTAGTGATGCATTTAAATTGGAAAACCCCACTCCGGTAATGAAAAGATCACTAATTTATGGGTACCTCGTACACGTTGTAATACTGAAAAATATACACGTCAAAGTTTTTGCCGGAAATTCCATATAGTGAATTTAAATATAAATAAATATCAAGAACTAACAATTATTTATTGTAATATTTTTAATTAATATCTTACTTTTCAAGAGTGCACCTTCGTGAAGCAATTTTACTAGCGAGTATTCCAGAAGCGGCGTCTTGTCACTAAATACGAAAGAAAAATAAATAACTTTGCTTAATTCCCCTCGGCAAGAAAGGAAAATACCATACCTTTCATAGGCAACGACAAATGCGATAAAAATAGTTATAATATCTAATGTAAAATGTTCAAACTATTAAGTCATTGCTAGTGACGTTTATGTATCATAGAATGATGTATTTTTCAAATTCTTGAGGCAAGATATTACGAGTACTTTAAATAAATATTAATAAATTTAAGAGAATTAATTATTAATTGAAACAATATAATTGACAATAGTTATTATAAAAAGGCATTGCGATTTATTACATTATTTAGGCGAATAAAAGTTATGGCGGGAAAAGATAACTATAAATAAATACAAATTTCCGAATAATGTCACAACCACAGAATATATGTTGTGTAATAGAATATTAATATAATTTAATTATACTAATGTTATTTTATTTTTTAAAAACAACTTAAAATAACTTCCA